GATTTTTCAATAAAAAAAACATTTTCTCATTCAAAACTCGTAGAAATACGGGTGAATAGGTAAAAAGCGATTTAGAATTCAATGACAATGGTTTCAGTGCTTTTGGAGTGTAGTGAGTCGAGTTTTGAAACTTCATCGAACTATACTCCGTTAGAATTGAGATTTAGGTCCTATTTTACACTTTTTATCTTCTTTTATTGGCATGCCAATAGAAAAAATAGCTAAACACGAATAAGAACCTAAGAAATAGAATAGATAAATATTATAGTAATAGAAGAAATCAAGCATACACAAAGTTATATATATTAATTGTCAAGATTAGTGTTTGTGATTTTACGGTGACTGATGATTTGATCATTACACAATCCACTAAAAAACATACTTAGTACTTCAAGATAATCGTTCCCTTGATCGTATGCTTTGATTGTTCTCTAAAATCGACGAAAAAGTTTGAGGTGAACCTGCTTTTGAATGAAATTTGCTTTTGCTTCAGGCATTAAAGTTGTTAATTTTTGAAAGCTTTGATCTGTATGTATTCTTATGTAGTGTTTTGAGTGACACCAATATCCTTCAATGGGATTAGTTTCGCAATGGTACTTCGGCGTAAAAATTACTTTGATATTATATTCAGCCGCTAATTTTTCAAGTTTGCTGACCTACAATTGAAAAAGAGGAGACAAAGATGCGAGTCATTTATTATATTGAATAAGAAAATAATTTTCTACTAACGCTTTTAAAAGCTGCATGTTGCGATAGCAGTAATTTTAAATCATTGAGTTTACATTTGCTTGGAACAAAGACATTTAATTCATTTGCTATAGCCAGTAAACCTTTACTGTATCCATCATCATCATAACATTCGATAGTTTTTTTTTATTGTTTTCATCAATATATTCGATCTTATCAACAGGACACCGGGTTCCGGGTCTCATTCTGAAATCATTCAGATGGATTTCAGCTGCTGTGTGAGTTCTTGAATTATCGACGAGGCATAAGAAGTTATGACTTTTTATATTCTTTTTTGAATGGTAATAATTGAAATAGACGTTTAAATTGATTCAGAATACTTTGATTATTAAAATAATTATCGCCACCGAGGGCGATTGCAGCAGAAGCACTATTCTTTTCATAATTTATATCACAATCATCATTTTAATTCGGATATGTTTTCAAGGCCTCTGAATACTCTTTTTCGGTTAACGAAAAGAATGGTCCACTTGTATGCATTACTAATACATCCGAACACATTATGCTTCTTCCTCTGCCTTTGTTGTAAAACGGCGCATTATCAGGCATAATCCATCGTTTAGCTGTAATTTCTCCACATTTGTATGTACTTTCATCATGGCCTACAACAGAGGAAAGCAACAGTGAACATATAGATGAGTTTTGAAATGAAGAAAAAAAAGAAGCACTTACAAAGCAAAATTGTTGGTACTGTTGTTGGTATTCTCCACTGTGGCACAGCATCATTTGTAATTGTATAAAAATGTTGTTCACGCTCAATAAAGTATTTGACAAATTCTTGTCGATGTTTTACCACATCTTCTCGTTCATGTCCAAGAAAGTAAGGCCGGCTTGAATTTGCTGTGAATTTTACACCAAATCGACGTAAGTCTAATCTACAACTTTCAACTGATCTTACTAATTGTTGATCGATTTTCTTCAGATTATTTAATTCATAAAAACGTTGGTCAATAAATCTTGCCAACGTTTCGACGGTAAATGCTGCTTCTGTTTTCGAACATTCTTGATAAACAAATTGCTTTGCTTCTAATTCTAAATCTGGATAACAATCCCAAAACGAATCACCTCGTTTCCCACCTCTCTCATCAATTGTGAATTCATTAAAATCTTTGTTCACTAAAATATTGGTCCATTTGTGACACGTTTTTATAGTAGTACAACCAATTGATGTTAAAAATGAGTCGACGTCTCTCCATGTATGACCAAGATGCCGTAAAGACATATATATAAGTACGCTGATGAAACGAGGGTTAATTTGTTCTTTACAAAACGTGAGAAGATCACTGATATCATTTAATACAGATCCATTCGAAAAATTAATATCATCAATATCTCCACCTGGATGAAATAGGATTTTTTCGTCTTCACTTGAAAATTTTCAGTATCATTCGATTTAATACTTTCTATGGATCTTCTATAATTCAATTGACGTGTATGACGTTTTTGTCTAGCCAGTTTTGGCATTATGAATTGCTTGAGTAAATGATTTGACAATTAGATAAGTTTTAATAGCACTTTGATCATAATTTGAAAAATACGTTGCATCTATGTTACGTAAAACGCCGCCTATTGATACACAGATCACCCACCCGTTAGCAAGCACGCCTGATGGGCGCCAGGCAACAATTCATTTCACATATTGTAAAATGAAAGTTTGAAAATTCTTACTTTCGCTTCGCAATTTTTCTCGATGAAGTTTCAAAAGTCGACTCACTACACTCCAAAAGCACTGAAACCATTTTCATTGAATTCTAAATCGTTTTTTACCTATTCAACCGTATTTCTACGAGTTTTGAATGAGAAAAATTTTTTTTTATTGAAAAATCACTAGATCGATTTTTCTCATGCTACCATTGTAGACACATTTTCTCAACATAGGATAACGATATTAAACAAATCGAGCCATATTTTTGTAGCTCGTCGAATGGCGCTTCGAATGGCGTATGAATAAAAGCTCTATCTCTCAAAGAAAAAAAAACTAAATAGATTTACAAAATGAACGAGTAAAAATCAGAGTCATATTGAAAGCTCGTCTTTTCAAATTGAATATGCAACATCTGATAAAGCGCTAAATAACATATCTAGACTCATTTTCCTACGAGGAATTAGAAAATCAGATCGGTGAGAAGTGAAAGTTGAACAGGAAAAAAATAAACGTTGTTTCCCAAAAAGCAATTCTTTTGCTGATTTTTACATCCTCTCAGTTTTTTGCCGTTTTCTCCATGAAGATTTTCTCGAATCGAAAAAGTAAGTAGATATTTGTGATCAGCTTGAAACACCGAATCTATTGATATATATTTAAGCAAAAAATAAGAAGTGCTGTAATTTTGAATTACGCGCACCTTACAATGGGTAAGTTTATTGTTGATACATATAATATTCTCATCGATTTATTCTATAGTTATCCTTCTTCATTTATGGAAAAGACATTACGAAAATTCTTCTCTGACTACATATCATCACGATCATTTCTCCCATTTCTTGACAATGAAGCTCAATTCATACAAATGCGTATTACATTATCTGGACAACAATCTCAAGTCGAAATGAGAATTGCAACACTTACTACCGATAACGAGCATTTAATTGAAGAATCGGATAAAAAACAAGAACTCACCATCCAAGAGAATAAGAAACCAAACGAATTTCAAAATAAACTTATAATTCATTATACACATGAGAAACGCTTCAATACACGTAAGTGCGACCTGCATCGTATCTTTCAAGAAACATTCGCAAACACTCCAATAATCGAAACGAAACTGATCGTTGGGAACAAAAATCAGAAAAGCAAAATGAAAGAACTGATTCGAAAACGTCCGAGACAGACAATATTAAAAAACAAAGCTAAAGCAAGTATGGTGAATAAAACAGAAAAAAACAGTATTTGAAAAATTATATCGTATCCACTGCATTATTCATTCTAGATGAAAACCGGAAAAAAAGGCATCATCAACTAAACCCAAAAAAGCAACAAAATAATAATCCAATACGAAACAAACACCATCATCATCTACATTCAACAACAATGCCCACTCAACGAACTATTCATGTCATTATTTCCTTTAATCTGATTCCAGAAATTCAATAAAAAACAAGTGGCAATTGAAAATATTCTACCGAAAAATAAGTCAGAAATTTTTTTCATCTCGAAAGGCCTGTAAAATCCATTAACAGTATCTCTCAAAATATCCAAGCTTTCTCCTGAAGAATAAAAACAAAATTCTAAACCATAATCAAATTTCACTCGCACTCTGAAAGATTATTTATAACATTCAATTTAATTTTTCTATTTAGTTTTAAATATTTCCTTGAAATTTTCTTTGAAATTTTTCAAAATTCGAATTAGATTAAGCCATCTGATGAGATTCTTAAGCAAGATCGAAACCGGTCATGGCAGCTTCTTTCACACCCACCCACACCCACGCACCCTCAAGAAATTTTCTTTTCTTTCGAAATCAGTATTTTACATGATAACGAATGTAGCACTTTACCATTTCTAATAACGAAAATCGAGAAATATCATTAATAGCAAAGTTGTAGCGCTTGAAATTCATTGGATTATGGCATGAAGTGTTTCTTGTTTCAAGTTTGTTTTAATTGTGTTGCGTAGAGGAAAGAATTCTCTATTTATTGATATATAAAAAGATATGCTTCACTTTTACTTAACGTTCATAGTAAATCAAAAATTAAACGTACCCATGAGCAAATTTTCAACCAAAAATTCGATCTTGATTTTGTTATAGCTTGGGCTAGGAAAATGCGAAAAGCGTAAAAATCATAGAAGATACGTAACAAAATGTCTCTATCGAAATATATTATTAAATTAAAAAAGTAGCATCCGCTACCCCCCTCCCCCTTAAGCGTTTTATGTTGCGAACAGAATAGCACTCAAATCGTTATGTGTTGCATTTAACCTTTTATAAAGGATAGAAGTTTAATGCTTTTTGTATAGCTATGTTGTCATTATGACGCTAAATCAAACAGCTGTTGCATGTAATTATGACAATCATTTCTAAAATGAAAACAGAGAAACAGCCATCAAATCGAGGGGATAGGGAATTGACGAAAACTGAAACATGGGACAGTACCATTCATCAGAGAACTCTATCGAGACAGTTCAGTTAATTAGAAAACTGTGCCGACACAGATTAGTTTTTTTCCTTAGGAACTATTGTCACAATTGTTTGATAGGAACTGAACTGAAGCTGTCCTAGGTCTAGTCGAGCATCTATCAGCGAAGAGCTGAAGTTCCATTAGCTCAGGTATTTGACCACTCAACCACTTCGGTTTTCCCAATTCTCAGTTATTCTGTATAAAAGAAGACTTCGTAATTTATTTCTGGAGCAACCTCGCAGCAACACTCCTCGCGATAGCTTCCTCAATACTAGAATTTCTTCCGTTCTTATGATGAGGGAACTCCTTCCTCCTCATGGTCGCGACAGTATTAACTGTCCTTGACTCTAGTACCTGGTAGTACCTACTAATACCTTCTAGTAATGACTGATACATGTATTAGTTGTATATGTAGATTTTGAATTATTCTGTAATTCATATCATTCTAAATGGCGTGAGGCGCCAGCGGCTGAAATTTTTAAAAATATTTCTTTGGTTCGGCAGCGGCGGCTTACATCTTTACATGTGAGATATATTCTAGGTGTTCAAATGCCGTTGGGTAAAATGGCTCCCTGTCAGGATGCTAGACATGGTTATCATCCACGCTTGTACAATGAGTATATCATATTCGATTCATCATAAATTGTTATTCGCTATATTTTTCAGCTCAGGAAATAAGAGTTCGAATGTTTTTTTAAGAATTTCTTAGTATAATTTCTAATTTGTTCAGTAATAACTCGAAAGTTGTCGTGTGAACAATTTATGATATTGGCATTTATCCGGCACGTTTAGAGTTTTAAATATTTCAATAAACATGATTCTATCGTATTGAAAGTATTTGCGTAAAAATGATATGTGCAACTATCAGGATACTTTTGGATGCTCTGAAGTTTTATGCAAGTAAATAATGCCACTTAATTATGATATTAAGTTTATGACAGTGCTTTGTGCTTTTTGGATATAGTGAGAGAGCTATATGTAAGTAAATAATCGTTATGTGCCATGAATAGTGTCCGTATTTGTTATGACTAACAGCAGCTGCCGTGAAAAATTCTGAAGGCACGTGTCGCCCTTCAAGATTAATCTCAGAGACAACAACGATAAAACATATTTTCATGACTTATTTTGAGAAGTTAAAACGAAGAAGGATATTTTTCATGACATTCAACGAGAAAACGTCACTGAAGATTTGAGAATCGCATAGACCCATAGATGTTGTTGGAACTATTTAACATACAATGCTCCCAATGTATTTCTGATGCGAATTTAAAACTATCCAAAATGAAAGATGCTATCAAAACATGAATTTTGATTATATGCATAGAATAAAAACAACTGAATCACACACATATAATAAAATTTGTTTTACGTTTAGAAATTGATAGAATGAATTGATCTTTATAGAAGTGCTATACACAGAGATCGCATAGTAAAATTATACCTCTAGAGAGACTCTCGTTGCATGTGAATATACAGAAAAACTTATGAGGAGGATTGTACACTGTATTTACTTTCATTTTCGAGTTCTAAACATAATCTATTCGATTTCACTTCATGACTTCAAGACTTCTGAAAGCAATTTGTTTGCGTTTCGTGATATATTTTACTTTGTGATCTTGAACTAACAAATCGGAGACATTTTTTGAGTATGCGAAATCCAGATGCGATAAGTCGCATATAAATAAAATTTCGGACTCTCTCGTAAGGCCATCACCCGTCATGAAGAAATTGATTCTAGAAAATCATCCTAGTTTTCCTTATGAGAGACTCCAGCGCCACTCAGAATGTCATGGTAGAAGGTACTTAACAATGAACACTATCACAAAACTATTGAAATCTTGAACAATACCCAACAGTCTAGTTCAAATTTATGATGTCTCTGAATATAAAATCATACAGCACGAGAAGATATTTAACTTGATCTCGTTCGAATCACAGTAATGAACGCTCATTAATCTAAGCAATATTTTCTCAATAGCAAAGAAACAATATTTGGCCTTATATAATGATGTGAGCAATAATGAAAATTGCGCCAATGTTATGAAATTACTCTTTTCATCGTTCTGTTTGCCAGCCTCTGCGTATATAACGCCAACCTTGACTTGAGAATTGTGGCATTACAAATATTTTTGTTCTGTTCTGGAAATCTAACAACAAACGAAGTTCGTTACAATCGAGAAACACAAAACAACGCCGAGTTATAAATTCTCCAGATTGACATCAAGTGAATTCAATATTACGATTTCAGTAATCAACTAAAGGTTTACTGTTTTCATTTTGATGTCTCAAGCAAGATGAATGACTCTACGCCAACAACCATGAAAACACCTATTTACTGGAAGAAAACATTTTTAACATGTCGAAGTCCTGCGAATTCATTTTATCTCTGTCGAACTCTTGAAGATGTTTACGATGATACAACACAAATTCGCATCCAGTGGTATTCATTTGTCGACGATAATCGTGATGAAAACGATATCGATGAGAATACACATTTCAAAATCTCATTCGAGGATACTCTCGATATTCAAGCGATTCTTACCAGTATTCCGTCAGTTGTCACATATGCTAATAAAATAATTACCTTGAAAAAGAAAGATATCGTTCGAACTCAGCGTCTGTTGCGCAAGTCAATTCAAACCGAATCAAATCAAACAACAGATGGGGCTAAAGTCAGTCAGAGAAGAAAGCGAAAAACCGCTGGTGAACAAGATGCTGCTCGTAAGTTTAATAGGTCTGTTCTTCTGATCGACTTTGTTCTTTATAATTAATTAGCTGTACGAAAACGACGACGAACGAAAGATGTCAATGAGATAGACGAAGGTACCTCAGCATCATCTGGAAAGACAACAGGTTTGTCTCGTGTGATATCTTTCGAGACATTTTCGTTTTTCATATATTATAGCAACAAAACAAACTGGAGTATCAAAAGCGAAACTATTCAAAGTTCAAAGTAATCGTTTTCTCAAGGAAAATCAAAATGTAACTGAGTATGAAGTTGATCCGTTTTTCGAATCAAAGTAAAAGTTTGATGTTGGTCTGATGAAAGTGTTTGAGGGTAATGATTTCTTCGTTTAGTACTCCTGCTCCGTTCATCTCATCAACGGTGCAAAGTAAATTAGCAATCCGTGCGGTGATATTAAATGATGCAGAACTATTGAAAAGTCTAATTGACGACATCAATCGTGTTTATTCGGTAGGAGACAATGATTTGGTTGATGTCTTCAAATCTTTCTATTGAGATGAACTTTCTAGGTGCATATCAGACGAGATTTTGCTGGTAGTCCATCGGCTATTCATTACGCTATTAAAAATAACAATATTCAGCTACTTGAAATGCTGGTAGCCGATATGGTAGAACCGAAAACCAATCGATGTGTTAATTTCGAAGTGCCTGGTATCTGGCAAGCGGCTGAAAAGTATATAATTTTGAACGAGTAAAGTATGTGAGAAATGTACATAAATATGTATGCATTTAGAGGAAGTATCGGGACTTTTCGGTTTCGAACAGCTGAGGTAATGTCTGATCGTGGAGCTCTCGAAGGCAATAATGCTTTCCTTAAGGTATATTATTCATGATATATTAATATTCTTTACTTCTGCTAATAAAATCGTTTTAGGTTACAGAACAAGTGATAAGTCACTCACAAAGGATGGAACTCATTGAATACGCTATACGACATCACTGTTCCCCAGATGTTTACAATGCACTTTACGAAAAGTTTTCGGTAATCATAAGAGCTATTCTTAGCATACATCACATAACTTGTTCATCGTTTTGCTCAGTGCTCGAGCGCCATTGATTGTGTGTGCCTTTGCATTGAAAACGGTCGCCGAGATTTAGCTAGTATTACAATGGAAAAAATTAAGCAAAGAGGTCGATATGGTTTTAATGAACTTCATTACCAAGTGAATTTAAGAGCTTCAAATTTTCTTTTTCTTTATTCGTTTTCTTCTCGAAGGTTCTCAAATTTGACGATGATGAATTAAGAGTAAAGCGTGCATCTGAGGTCACAAAAAAAGCAAAAGACGCCTATCAGGTACGATTCCTCTCATCTTTAAATGTCATTTGTATAAATAATTATTTCAGATGACACCGATTCATTGTGCTGCTATCAATCCAAATGCCAAATACTTGAAACAATTATTAACCATTGCATCTGAAGTCAATATTCCCGACAAAAGAAATCGACGGCCGATACACTATGCTGCTGTTTCTGAAGGAACGGAACCACTAGAATACCTTCTATCTAAGTAAGAACTGTCAATGAAGAAGTCGATTTACTTTTTTCACTCGATGCATAGAGACGCGAAATTCAATGAAGTTGACAAAGAAAGCAACACACCATTACATCTAGCTGCGATGCATGGCCGTCATAGGAATGTAGAAGTGTTGCTACGCAGAGCAAAAGAAAAGGCTGAATTGAACGATCCGGAAAACCAGCTCGAACATGAAAATTTCGGACTAGCGTCAATCAATCGAAAGAATGCATCAGGACATTATCCACTTCATCTAGCAGTTATTAATAATCACTTGGTAAATTTGTACTATACTGCACCGTTTTGATCTTCACTGATTGCTGCATCCCGAACCTTTTCTTGTTTAGAAATGTGTTGAAATACTTCTTCAATATGGTGCGGAAATCGATGCAGTTACAGTCGCTTCAGTTGAAAAACTAACATCTTTGATGTTGGCTTGTCGAATCGGATCACTTGATATCGTCAGGAGTTTAGTTATCAATGGAGCCCGAGTCGAAGCACACGATCGTTTCAAGCGAACGCCATTGATTCATGCATGTATGTATGGACATACACATGTCGTTTCATATTTACTTCGTATTGGAGCGAATTCAAATGTATTCGATTCATCGATGAATACGGCTTTACATTATGCCATTGCTTACGGTTGGTACTTTTGTGTTCGACTACTGATGGAGGCCGGTGCGAACGTGAACTGTGCCAATTTCTGGCAACTGACATGTCTTGGGATTGGTATTCTCAAAGGACATTTCGGTATATGCGATTATCTTCTGACTGAACACAAGGCTGATATTAATTTTAAAACAAACAATGGTTTGACGGTAGTAATGCTTCCACTACGCTTACGTATTTGGAAGACAGTTTTAGAGCAATTAGAATATGTCATTGTGAAACACAATGCCGATTGTACATGTGTCGATATCAACGGTCAGAATGCGTTTCATCATCTGGCATTGAACGCCAATCCACAGACCAATAGTACTCTGTCGGAACACGATGACAGCGAGCTGCGAACTTATTACGTTCGAGTGGCTCAAATATTACTTGAACATGGCTGTAGTCCAACTCAGATGGATAATAAAGCACAAACACCGTTGGCACTTGCACTAGAGTCGAATAATTTCATCATAGTGGACTTTTTAATTAATGAAGCAAAAGTTGCACTGACGTTAGACATAAGCTGCGGTGGAAAAACTTTACTACACTATTTCGCTATGAACAGTGAGAATCCGGCATTGACTGATATATTAGCGAAAATATCTCCAATAGATCAACTAAGAAAGATGGTTGAAGTATATGATAATGAAGGACGAACGCCTTTTCACTACTGCACAAAAAGATATGAAGAACACTTCAAGAGTCGACATTGTGTAGATGCCACACTCCCAAAATACCAATCGATGGTTAAAATGATCAGATATTTTCTTGAAATATTGGATTGTGATCCCGATATCCCAGTAAAGCGTGTCGTAGATCACAACAAAGAAGCTTCTGAACTGAACGTTACTGACTCGGACATGAATGATTCAAATAATGAAGCACAAAAGTCTCTTCGGGAAACTTCTATTTTCTACTTACTCTATGATACTTCATATTGTGGTTCAGCGAATGAGCATCCATTACAAATCTTACTGAAAAAATCCAAGAACATAAACGTTCCACTATTTGAAACGAAACGAACACCTCTATTACAAGCTATTAGTGCGAAACATTCTAAAACCGTTAGTCTTTTGTTACAGAACCCATCGTGTGATGTAAATTTAGCTACATCGACAGAAATATCCGAACTCGGCAAAGCGCCATTGATTCTCGCGTGTAAACTTCAGTATTTATCCGTCATACGAGAACTTTTGAATCATCCAAAATGCGATCTTCTCCTTCGTGATCATCAACAAAATCAAGCCTTTCATTATTTCTTAGCCACATCAATGCGTTCCGACGAATACTTAGAGTTATTCAATATTTTTATCGAAAAATTGATGGCACTTGGAAAGGACACACTCAATAGTCAAGGTGAAGCTGGTAGAACACCGCTTCATATTGCTGTTCAGTACAATGCAGGTACGGTTGGTACAACCTACACAGTCGAAGAGGTTTTAATCGAGAATGGCTCGAATGTATTGATTGAAGATGATGCCGGGAATATTCCGTTGCATCATGTTTTCCTCGGAAATAAAATTACCAATGATCCAGTGGAACTTTGTGCATTAGTTATGCAAGCGATGAAATACGAGTCATTAGATATGAAAAATAGCGAAGGAAATACTCCGTTACACCTGGGTGTTATGAAAGAATCTAATATTTGTATTATGCTTTTGTTGAAGCACAACGTCAACGTATCAATTGAAAACAACCTGTCGAATACTCCTATTGCAACTTCGATTGCAATGAGACACGGGAACATTTTGATTACGTTTCTTCAACAACCAATTGATGTCGACTTGAGTAAATGCTATCATACATCCACCACAAGTGGTTTGGAGACATCAAAAGTGCATGACCATGTGCGGACTACGGAGGTCTCTCATATAAAACCCAAAGTGATTAAAGAAAACTCATTAATTACTTTGATAATCAAGCAGCGAAGTTGGGAAGGCGTTTTATCATTGATTATGAATGATCTTCATCGTTTTCACTTAAATTACATTCAAGTGCTGGAAGCAGCGATAGCTAATAATTGTTGTGATATTGCTCTTCGTATACTGACAAAAGCAAAACAGCGAGCTGCTTTACATGAAAAAAATTCTTATGAACGAAATTTATTTCATATTATCGCATCGACTCGAATCTCCGATAAGACATTGATGGAGAAGTGTTTAAATTGCCTTTATGATAACAAAGTCGATTGGAATGCCGCTGATAAATACGGAATGCATCCATTACATTATGCCTGTATTTTCCACAATAAAATATTCATCGAATTCCTGCTCAAGAAATATTCGGACAAAGTTGATTTTAATCAAAAGGATCAATACGGAAATACAGCTTATGGTCTATTGTTTTGGAATTCAGCGGCAAACAACTCAATAGATCAGACTTTTATTCGATCTATTGTTAAGTCGGGTAAATCACTCGACTGTTTATGTACTTATGTGAATGAATTAGCGAAAAGTCCATTATCGTTCGGCTCGATTAACTCTTCAGCAGTCCAGTCTATTCCAGAGACACCATTTTATTTAGAAGACATTTCAAAAATTATACGAACAACACCACTGATCAATGCAATCATATACAATAAGATTGATATCGTGCAATTGTTACTCGAACTCGATGCCGATGTCAATCAATCAGATGAAGAAAAACAAACACCGTTAATGCATGCTGTTCGTCAGGTAGAGTAGACAAACTTAAATGCAATGGGTTTTCAGTGTTTTTTTTTTAATATTCATTTATTCATGGTTAGAATAGTATTGATGTAGCTAAGCTGCTGCTCAATAAAGCTAAGTGTGCTGGAGATCGAGTTGTAAGTAATTCAACACACGATGAGAACAAAGACGAACAGATGAAGGATATTGACGTTACTCACACGGAACAAGAAGCGATGGGTGAATCATCCACCTTCGAAGAAGCGACAAATATTGATCTTAACGCTACAGATGCTTTAGGTCGTACGTGTATTCATCATCTACTTAGACCATTAATTGAGTCGTATGATATATTTTATGCAAATAACATCGAACTGTTCGAACTACTGCATACAGCCGGAGCGTCGTTATCCATACCTGATAAAATGGGTTTTACACCATTGAAATACGCTGCTAAGCACAATGGATGTCAGCATCTCTATGACAGACTTAGAGAACTCGTGAATGAATGTCCAATGGAAATAGAAGAAATTCCCCAGAAACGTTTCATTGTCAATGATCCGAACGAAAGTCTACTTGGTCTACATGACTATTACTCAGATGCACAGAAATACATAGACGAATACGTCGCAGCTCAACCAATGAAAATTTCGTCAAAAGTTTATAAAGTTGATCCATTATCGAAAATGAGCGAAACAGCAGATATTGTCATTGACTCGCAAAACAACGAGCCTTTCGACATCCGTCTAACAATCACAGATGTGGATGATGGACTGATTGGGCTATATAACTTCTATCGAATGCAAATTATTAAGCAGAGGACTAAAACTGATCTATATCTTCTATTCACTCGTTGGGGACGTATCGGTGGCGGTGATGGACAACATCAGTTAACACCTTATTCGTCAATGGACGAATGTCGAGCGGAGTTCTGCAAAATATTCCTTGAGAAAACGGGTAATATATGGGATGATCCTAATCGGTTCGAAAGACAACCAAAAAAGTATATGGTAGTGCAATTAAAAAATTCGCAAACCTATAAAAGCACTGATGTTCCGATTGACTTTCGACGATTGAATGATGAAACTCAACATATCCCATCAAAGTTGGAATCAGACGCATACAAAAACTTCTTCAAAATGTTCCTCAGCTCTGGGGCGATTCGCACCAATCTGGAAAAAGCAAATTTAGATATCGAATGGATGCCTGTTTCACAGCTGAAAATCGAGAGTGTACAACGAGCCCGTAACATCTTGGCTAAGTTGAAGACTGATATTGAGCATAAAGACCAGCTAAAACTTCTAATTCAACAAAGAAACATTGATGGCATGTCAGACGAGCAAGCTGAGTTTAAAATTTTACTAGAATCCATATGCCAACTTACAAATGAATATTATGGCGTTATACCGTTGCAAGGTTATGGTTCTGAGAAGTTATCGATGATCGATACTGTCGAATCTGTAAGAGCACATGCACAAAAGCTCGACGATATACTTGAGTTGGAATTGTCTTACAAAATCCTTCTAGCGGCACAAGCTAATTTGAGTCGAATGTCGCCATTGGATTATTTATATAAATCAATTAACTGTCAATTTGAAGCATTGAATCCAGATGATATTGATTCTCAATTTATTCTGCGTTATATCAGAGCGAGCGCACCACCAAATACAAAAGTTGAGCAAATATTGAAAATCTCACGAGCGAACGATGATGAGAGATTCAATGAACGAAATGTGGGTAATCGCTATTTACTGTGGCATGGTACGAATATTTGCAACCTAATAAGTATCCTAACGCGAGGTACGGATATTGCTTAAGCACGAAATCCATCCGAATTTCATGCAGTATTTTTTCCTCTGTTTAGGACTATTAGTCGAGCCTTTGTGTGCGAAAGGAACTGGAAAACAATTTGGAAGGGTAATTATTATGTATTTCTAATTTAATAGAAAAAGAAAATTCTCATAGTTTTCGGTTTTAACTGATTATCTAGGGTATCTATACGGCCGATGAATTCGGAAAAAGTCTTGCTTACTGCTCCGGCGTTAAGAAAAATGGTAATGAATCTTGTTGTATGTTATTATGTGAAGTAGCATTAGGCAATACTCATATGGTTACCGATAAGACATCCAGTGACTGCCGGGCACAATTGGACACGAGCAAATATGAGAGTCGCACAGCTCATGGTTCATCAATACCTGATCCTCGGTATACAATTATACGAGACAGCGGTCTGTTTCTATAAACGTTTTGTGTCTATTGTTTTAAGACGTGTGATATTTTCTAGGTGTTCGTATGCCACTGGGTGAGATTATCACATGCAAGAATGCGCAACATTTGGCTCATGTATGTGCTCATAATGAGTATATTATTGCAGACTCGTCGCAAATTGTGATCCGATACATTGTTCAATTTGTCCGATAAAACTTTTACTCTGACAATGTTGTAGCAATTCGAACGGTCATGGAATTAGCTTTCAAGATTGTAAAATTGTGTATGTTTCATGAATCATGATGCAGTATTTTAGTACTGTTAATTTTGACACAGCCAAATAAACGAGAACTGGTCATGATAAAAGAATTGTCACTATGAACAAAAGAACGGCTTAGAAACTAAGAATATCCCTTTTTCAGAAGTGAATCCCATTTGCTTTTCACTTCATATGATCAGGTAGTCTTCGTCAAATGCCGAGTTAAGAATTCGCCATGATTTCGTCTCACGTTTTCACACAATTTCGCACTCTAATTCACCATGTAATCGATCCTGACCAACAATATAATCTCCCTAATTCACATTTATCTTACTGTGACCGACGTTTGTTTCGATTGGTTCCTAACCAATAGATTTCATTACGACAAATACCTATGAAATAGGCTGAATCATCATCACCATTCCAACATCCACTTAACTCACTGTCACTAGTTACCCATTTCGTTTTCTTATTGATTTCAAATTTATCTAAATATTCATTTGATATTCGATGAAAGTTTGTACCACAGAATATTTTGTTACTGTCATATGTTTTGGTCATAGTCTGATAGTTCGAAGATATTTCTAATTTTAATTGTCCTGAATACTTCTCAGGCGCAATTGGAAGATTACCCCATTCTATAATTAACTCATCATTACTATTGATCATACTGAAAGCGACGTTAGCGAAATTCCATTTTGCTTTATGCTGTTGCCCAAATTAGAAGACTCGTTGACCATACTGACTTATGAAATAAGTACCGACCTCTTGTACAGTGTGTTCCTTATCGTCACATGTCCATAGACCAGTTAAATTGCATGCAACATTCTCTATAACCAAGTCAATTCTAGTCACATTTCTTTCTCCATTGAAATTTTCCGTTGAATTATTGATAACACGAAGGCATGTGTATGGTTGAATGAGTACTTCTTCCTCGCTCTTAAATTGAGATACGTCTTCAATGCTGGAGCACGCATGAGAGAATCTTCGTGGTATGTGAACAGAAAATAACGGGTGGGCCATAAAGAATGATGGGTTTCGTATTTCTCGAATATCTCTACGAGTTTTCATTCGTTCGAGCTGATTTTTTTTTGAACGAATCGCCGTTCGATTCTCTACGAAGATGGGTATTTTCTATTGCGTTCGATCGAATTCGTTTCATTTGAGAAAATGAAAAGTAAAGATTTACAAACGCTCGTATTTTCTAAGTACCAAAATGGCGATGGATCGCAAAACATTTTTGAAGATCTCAGTGGTTCCGCTAGTCTTCCGACCATTGAACGATGGTGCAGGAGCATTCGACAGACTGGCTGTATCCCTCTGTCCAAATCAACCGGTCGTCCAAAAACAATCCGAACGAAGGCAGTCATTCAAAAGATCAAGCATCGGCTGAATAAGCGAAAGTCTGTCTCATCTCGGAAATTAGCCCGTGAATTGAGTATTTCTCGAACGAGTGTACGGAGAATACTCAAGGATGATCTAGGACTCCATGCCTACAAAGTGCAAAATGAACCAATGCTCACTGGTGAGCATAAAGAAAAAATAATCCAATTTGCTAATTGGATACGAAACAACTTCCGAAAAGAAGACACGATGAGAATTCTGTTTTCTGACGAGAAGATGTTCGACATTGATGGAGTTTATAACTCTCAAAATGATCGTATCTGGGCGGTTGATCGTTCAGAAGCCGATATCAAAGGTGGTAATCGGCAAAAACGTAAATTTCCGCAAAAGATTATGATTTGGCTCGGAGTTTGTTCTAAAGGTGTATCACCTTTAGTGATTTTCGAGAATGGGACAGCCGATCATGATCGATACATCAAAGAAGTGCTTCCGATCGCTCTCAAGTTCGGCAATGACATGTTCGGGAACGATGGGACCTTCCAACAAGATGGTGCAAGACCACACACTCATGCAAAATCGCAAGAATGGTGTGCTAAGCACTTTCCGTCGTTCATTGACAAGGACCATTGGCCTCCAAATAGTCCAGACTTGAACCCATTGGATTACTGCATTTGGAACGAATTCGCTCAACTAGTCAAGTGGGATACGGTGACATCTAAAACAACATTGATCACTGCCCTAAAACGTGCTGTTCGTGAAATTTCTCAAGATGTAGTTGAGAAAAGTTGTGCTTCTTGGACAAATCGATTACATCGATTGTCTCAAGACAAAGGAAATTATATCAGATAATAAAAACATCCGTATTTGTAGAGAATCGAACGACGATTCTTTCAAAAAAACAGATCAGCTCAAACAAAATGAAAACTCGCGGAGATAATCGAGAAATACGAAACCCATCATTCTTTATGGCCCACCCGTTACAACGTTGCATCCGGACCAACTGACTGCTCGTTTCATATTATACGTGCAGGAAGAAAAAACGGGTCAATAGAATAGTAAATCGATTTCGTATACTGATGTTGCTGATTTGTACTCCATAACTCGATATACGATTCCATAATAGTTTCGTTTATGCTCTTGTAAACCATCCAGTAAACTGTATAGGTATAAAGCAAACAGTAAGATGACTTATTGGTTATCATTCCTCAATGCTATATTCAATTATCGATAGACACATGAATAAAGTGTGTAGATTTTGATTGATACTTCATCTTTACACAGCGAATGCTCTTTCTCGTAGTACTCGTGTATTAAAAGTTCTTCATTAAACTACTGTTGCACTTGTTGCAGTGAACTTTTCGGATTACCACGGTCATATTTATGACGACGGTCGTGCATATTTCTGTAAAAACTTTGAACAGATCTAATATAACTCGGAACGTTACCAGCTACAAAACGATGGAGGCTTTCGCTATCGCGATTATCATTCTCCGCCCATTCATTTGAGCACATGGTATAAAGTTGTTGTAAAGAAATTTTTGAAACGATCAATCTAACAGCAAAAATCAGACAAATGATTAACATTTTCAAACCCGTAATAATTATAAAAAAATCTTGAAATATACATGATTCTAAAGTAAGCTAGATTATATTCGGCACTATCTTGAATTCGAAATAAAACGGAAAACACACACGAATTTCTTGGTGTTCCCTCGTGGTTTACTTGCTCACATAGTAGAATTCCTTGACGTCAAGATTGGTCAAACTCTATCTATAATCTTTGAGAAAGTCTCATTAGTGCAGTGAAAAAAAGAGATTTTATAACATTTTGGCGGATTTCGATTCGCAATTTCGGCAAAAAAATTCGCAGTATTTTTGATGAAAATCGTAACAACCAAAGATAGTTTTATTTTGAATTAAAAATTAAATTTTCTTTGATTGTTCCGATTTTAATCAAACATAATTTGGATTTTGTTGCTGAAATTGGTGATTAAAATGTGCCAAAATGTCATAAAATTTGGTTTTTTTCACAGGAAATTATCTTGACCGTCGAAATAAATTACTTTCGAGCTGAACACTCTGACTTTCGCGCAGGATTTTCAACAATATCGAGAGACATACTGGTACACCGCACTCAGACAAAATTTTATGATATGGGATTCTCAAAATTATTGTACAACGTGATGACAAGAAAAGTTCGTACGTCAGGAGGCCATATAAAACTGAAACTCGTGAAGAATTGCTCTCATTTGTACTTCGCAAGGTACACTGAAAAAAAAATCCGCAGAATAATCAACGTTTGCCCTTGTTTTTTTCAGTAATAAACCCTCGAAGGGTTTATTCGCACGGCATAAACCCATTCAGGGATTGATTAACATTGGGGTTTATTATCGGAAAGGTTGATTAGTCTTCAAAGGGTTTATTAAACTTTCCGAAAGGTTTTTTAACTCTGATTTTGACCCAAGCGGTTTATTATAATACGAACAAATAGAGAATAATCTATGATATCAAGGAAAGGGTTTATTCTTCTACGCTATAGGGTAGTTTAACACACGAGCCCTCCGAAAGGTATATTATTCTACACTTTGATGAAAACCATTTATTATTATACCCAGTGAAAATGCGAAAATACCATTTGTTACGGGCTTGCCCTTCACATCGTTCCACTCTAATTCCTTTCTATCTCTTCTCTCTGATCTAGTCACGCGCCACAACTATCGGTGTTGTCTTCTCGAAGGAGGAGAGATGTGTGCGTTATCTATTGTTTGTTTTCTCTTTTTGTTTATTGTTAAACTAGTGAGTTATCGTTTTTTTTCTCAATAAAGAGAAGGGTGAAGATATCACCCCTAATATTTGGTGCGGTGACCGATAATTTTATTATTATTCAATAGTAATAAAAAAAAACGAAAAAATATATATACAACTCGGTAAGTGAATTCTTTTTCATTTATTTTGGTAAGAGATAGTTTCATTGGAAACTGCCTGTGAACCCTCAATTGAATTGAAGAGATAGTTCCATTAGGAATTGTCTGAGAGGGTTATAATACATACGAAGAAAATTATTCCATAAATTATTATACATCCAACATCAACACTATCAATTGAATTTAACATTACTATTATTATTATTTCTCTTTACTGATATT